GGATGGATGGATCAGTGGATGGATGGGTGGGTGGATGGATGGGTGGATGGATGGATGGATGGATGGATGGATGGATGGATGGATGGATGGGTGGATGGGTGGGTGGATGAATGGATGGGTGGGTGGATGGGTGGATGGGTGGATGGGTGGATGGATCGGTGGATGGTTGGGTGGATGGATGGAACAGAATGGTACGATATATGATTTTAACATAAAGTTGGGAAGTTCTTACTCTAAATTCCTTTGGCTACTTTCATGGCCACGCTGGAGAAGCCCTGAGGTAAGGATATGGCTCTAAGAATTTCAAGGAAGCTCTGCAATATTAGCATTAGGCTTTAAAAACTTGAGACCACTTTACCTTCTCTCTCCTACAATTTTGGCTAAAGAAAAATCTTTGGGCTGGGCAAACAAGTCCAGGAGAGAAATCTGAAGGGCAGTAAGTTAGGTGGTCTGAATAATTAGTAATTCCACCTCAAGCAGATGCCCTCATATGGAGAGGCACTGGTCAGCACTGGCTGCTTGGTGTGTGAGGGGGGGCCACTGATACCCTCAGGATGGCCAAATGGCCATCGCTCATTGAGGGGGTTGGTATGGAATGTCTCCCAACATGTAGAAATTTGCTCAAGGGTGATGTCACCCCCAATTACCCAATTATGGGGGACCAGAGCCCTGCATAACCATGTTATAAACTTGCTATGGATGGAAACAGGAAGAAATTCCATCATTCCATCATTTTCTTATTAGGAGCAGCAAAACAATCTTTCTCTAAGAGAATAAAAGTACCCCACCCTGCTGCCCCACTTTTAAAAAAATCATGGAGGAGACAAGGAAAAGAAGAAAGAGCACACACAGATGGCCATTGTCTTGAAGAGGTTAAACCAGTGCCTGGGTTCTGGAAGAACTCATCCAGAACACACTCAACTTATCCAACCAGGGAACAGGCTTACAGTCAGGCCCCGACTATGGACCAGGCACCTGTCAGGTTCCGGGGTGGGTCTCCTCCTGGGATGTTCTGCATAGGCAGGACTTACGATGACTGGGCCCAAATGGGTTTGAAAGGAGGGTGTCACCGGGCTCGGGGGTCATGTGACTCAGTCGCCACAGCTCTGCCCTTTGGTGAGCTGGTTCATAATCTCATCTAAAGGTTTACTGGCTTGGGCGCCTGGGTGGCTCTGTCGGTTAAGCGGCTGCCTTAGGCTCAGGTCATGATCCTGGGGTCCTGGGATTGAGCCCCATGTCAGGCTCTCCACTCAGTAGGGAGCCTGCCTCTCCCTTTCCCTCTGCCCCTCCTCCTGCTGGTGCTCTCTCTCTCTCTTTCTCTCTCAAATAAATAAAAAATAATATCTTTGAAAAAAATAAAGGTTTACTGGGTCAAGGCCTTGAACTGCCATGGTAATCGATCAGCTAATGAACATTTCTAAGAGTCCTCAGCTGTTTGCTGGATGAATGAGCGCTCCTGACCCTCTGGAGTCCAAGAGCTAGCATGTATTCATACGTCCCAGGTGTCAAACCCTTTTCTGCATACATTGCTTATTCTCCCTCCTGGCTGTTGGCACACCTGAGGCACGTGGAAACTGAGTCACCCGACCGAACTCACACAGCTGATACTGACAGAGGGGGTTCTCGACCCCAGGCGGTGTGACCCGGGAGCTTGGGGTCTGTAAGCACTGAGCCTGGGACAACAGGCCCAGCACCCAGACCTGCCTCCATGCCTGAGCCGCTCCACGTGGGCCCTGTCCTTCCCCCAGAAGGAGGCCATCTTGACTTCTCTCTGTGCTTCCCACGGCCCTCTTCTCCTCTCCCTGCCACCACTCCTGGCGTCCCCTCCAGGCCCGGCCTTTCCCTCCCGCCCCCCCCCGGCAAAGTTCCCTCCTGTCTCCCCACCCTGTCTCCACCCCCGAGATGGGTTTGTTACTCTTTATTTTTGTTTTCTGCTCAAAATAAAAGTATATCTATCTTCAGTTAAAAAGAAGGTCAAATACTTTATGTTTAAGGAAAAACTTTTCTTTTTTTTTTTTTTTTGAGAAGCTCCTTCATTTTCCTCCAAGCAAGGAGGCAGGAGAGGATGTTGACTAAACACAAACAGTTCCCAGCACCTGGGTTTGCGCGGCCCTATGTCTCATCTGCGTCCCTTCTGCTGTCACTCCTGATGGCTGTGTATGAGGGGCCTGTGCCCGCTCTTAATGTGAAAAGGTTCTAGATCTTTCTGCCCTACTCTTCTTCTTAAAAGCAAATTTCACAGCTCTCCACTCACCAGGAAGAGCGAATCATCCATTCTAACCCCCAACCGTAGTAGGAAGTCCCTATGCCCAGTTAGCACCCCTTTATTTTCATTTATTTTATTTCTTCTTTATCTGTTTCCTAAATCCCAGGTCCTCCCCATTCCCACCCCAAGTACAAGTCACTGGCCCTTGGATCAGGAGTGACAGACAGGCGTCGGCTCACTAGTGACCTTCCAGGGAGTGCTGCCTTCAATCCTCTTTATCCGAAAATGCCTTCCTCTTCCAGCCTGCAAGGATCCCTAAAATCTCCCTATCACTGGGGTGATTCCTTTGCACGAGGAAGTTAAGTCTATGTAACGAAGGGATGTAGCAAAACGTTCCCTATACAGTCTACAAGATGGGTGCTCACCCTATAATCCTTCTCCTTTTTCTGTATGTTTAAAAATTTTCGTAATAGCATATTGACAAGAAAAAAAAAAAGAAATCAGGTCCCCAGGTAGCTCCTATTAAATATTTCATCTAGAATAGGAAGACACTGGTTCACCCAGACGAACTCTCAGGTCATCAGAGGAAGGGGCCAGAGCGCAGCTGGAAGGTGGGGCTGTCCCCGCCGCTAGGTTTGACGGGACTGCCTGTGTGCCCGGACCACGGCTGGCCTCCTCGCTCCTCAGAGCCCCGCATGCTCGACAAGGCAGGCACCATGACTGCAGTTTTACAGGCCCCGAAACAAGGGGTCCAAGAGTTCATCTGCCCAAGGAAACTGCCCAGAACAAGTTAGAAGGTGCTGGAACCCCGGACAAAAACTTAGGACATTTGCCTCCTGGTTCCACGTTCTTTCCATCGGGGGCAGGACTGGCGGGAACCCCCAGTGGGTGATCCACAGAGCAGCCCGGGGCACAAGCCTGCCTGCTGTGTGACTTCAACAAGTCACTTGCCCTCTCTGAGCCTGGCTTCCCCAGCTGAAACAGCACTCCAGGCTCCACTTCCGGGGCTGGGGAGCACATCCGCGCTAACAGGAGGAAGGGGCGCGCGAGCCTGGCCGTGACAGAGCTCGAGGAAGGGGCTTCTGCTTCCTTGCCAGGACAGGGGGGAGGGTGAGATGGGGGGACAGCAGGAAGGTATGGGGAGCAGTGCAGCAGCACATTCCCGACGGGCGGCAGGGGCCACTTGGGAACATCAGACACACCTGCCACCGCCCCGCCCCCCACTGATGGCCGCCCAAGGAGAGGGGGTTCACCTGTAGGTATATTTCCAACAGAAAACTCTTGTGTCTATTTTGAAACAACTTGTCTCCAGCCCTTTAGGTTCAGCACATGTCGGTTCTGGCCTTAACCAGCCCGCTTGCCCCAGGTGATAGAACAGCCCCTCTCCAAGGCCAGGGGGCTGAGCCCAGCACTTACGATGGCCAGGTGTGTGTCATCTAAAGACCCCGCAATAATCACCCTACACAGGAGGTACGCTTATCATCCCCATTTTACAGATGAGGACACCGAGGCCCGGAGAACGTAAGTGACTCGCCCAAAGACACAGCCAGCAGGGCAAAGAGCAAGGTGTGAGCCCAAGCGTCTGACCCATAGCCACGCTCAGAAGCTTCCACAGCATCGTGCTCGAGGAGGAGGATGGAAATGCTTTCTCAAAGCACCCCTGGGGGTCATCTCTGAGTATTTGCTTTCCAGAACATAGAGAAAGCAGATGTCGTATTTTTACTTTACCTCCACTGCTCTCTCCATCCCCCAGCCGCTCCCGAACACACACTCAGGAGAAGTGGAGACCTGAAATTACTCTATAAAAACAAGGGCTCACACTTAGGAAATCGCCCCTTCCTAATCACATGAAGGTAGAGCTCAGGAAGGGGCGCCAGCTACCCGGGGCTGCGCTGCACTCTTGGGCCCGGCAGAGGGTGGCCCATCCTCCCCACCGGCTGGACCACCATGGACCTACTCTGCGTTCTTAGCAAGTCATGTTCCAAAGTATGGCCTGCTGGGCCCAGATCTGGGAGCTTCATTTTAGAACTGGAAGGGGCCTTTGTGATGACATAATCCAGGCCCCTCACTGGACAGCAGGGGACACGGAGGCTCGAAGAGGCAGGGCAGGGAGCTGGGCTCCAAACCCAGGGCTCCTGACTCCCAGCCCAGGGCCTCCTCCCTGCAGCCGCCTCTGGAAACTGCAATGGGAATAAAATACCAACAGCTCCAGGCAGGCTTCTCGGAGCTTGAGCCTGAGGAAACGCTGACCGTGGGCAGCAAATGCTCCAACCCTTTTCCAACCACAGGAGCCAAGAATGTCCCAAGAGAACAACATGCGCCCTGGGGACCCCGGGTCTGCAGGCGGGCAAGTGCAGAGCTGGCCCAGGCCCCCCAGGAGGGAGCCAGGGCCGGCGGGGGTCCCCCGCTCTGCAGACTCTAGACGTGCCGTGAAAGCAGGAACTTGGTGATTGACTCTGCAATGCCAGACTGGGGGTGTTTCCGGAAAGCATCGGGGCGACAAGGAGCCACGGTGCTTGTGAGTGGAAAGGAGCGGAAGAGGCGGAAAGAAACATGGGGTGGCATGCACAGGGGACACGCGGACGAAGCCACACAGAGGTGCTAGTGTGTGAGAGCCGGGGGGCAGGGGGCGCGAAGCAAGGCCGGGGTTAGGGGAGAGAGGCTTACTTCAGTAGTTTGATATTACACATAATCAGCTCCTTCCAGTTAACAAAAATCATAGCACCCTCTTTCTCCGTCAGCAGCTCACACTCCATCAGGGGTTTCTGAAAGATCTACAGGTGCAGAAAATGAAGTGGTTCAGAAAGCAAACAGTTAGCTCACAACTCGAGCACAACGCACGCAGCTCTGTTCCACGCATGGAAGGGCCCACAGGCAGCTGCGCCTTCCAGCAGCATCTGCAGCAGATGGCCCCTCCTCTGCCTGAGCCGCTGGGGGAGCCCCCATCAGGTCTGCCCTGTTTGAGGGGGGAGGCCAGCTGAACTCTCGAGGCTGGGCCTTCCCTCCCCCAGGACAAAGCCGAGAGGCCTGTGCAAGGTCCCGAACACTCTTCCCTGCCCACGGTGGGGGATGGGCATGGCCGGGAAAAGTCGGGGCTTCAAGATGCACGTGGGTGTGCATGCTCGCTTCATGCTCGCCTGCAGCATCTGCTCCCCAGACAAGCCTTGGGCATCCCGAGGGGAGCAGCCGTAAGCAGCGGGGCCTCCAACAGGGAGCCTGGGTGGGGGCTTCTGGCCCCGGCTGGGCCGGTGTAGGGACTGGCTGCGGGAAAGAAAGGAGCCTGCCCAGGCTCCAAGCTCCGTGTGGTTGGGTGACTCAGGGTAAATCACAGCTCTCTGCCCAGCCCCACGTGGGGAGCCCGGGCCTCCAAAGAGGTCATTATCTAGCACCGGAGGCACGGGGCGCTTCGGAAGATTCTTTAGAGATGGGACAGCCTATTGTTGACGTAAACGTGGCCGGGCTCAGGCTGATCGCTGGGAGCCCTACTCTTCGTGAGTTCTTAAGCCGACATGGAACCCGGCATATACCAGACACTGCACAGAAGTGCCACGTCTAAGGGGACGACACTCACATCCTAGACATCCGAGATTGTATATTTAGGGACGCTCATGTGTCTTGAGGAGCGGGCACCTTTTTTGAGTGTGCATCAACACTTCCTAGGCATGAATGGTGGCCTCCTGGAGCCGAAATCTATCCTGCCTTCTGTACTCATTGAACACGGGGCAGCTGAGCGGTGACTTCCTGGGTGTAAGACTGTCCAAGGAGATGGTTGCGCAACTGTTAGGTGGTGGGAGGTGGGGAGGGGGCAGGAGTTTCAAAACTATTACAGTACTTTTCAAACTGTACAGTGACCCTGACATCCAGCTCTGCAAACCCCTGTTTGCCAATATGGCCACCTCCCATGAGTATGGACCAAAGGCTTCTTGAAAAGCAGGGGTCCCCAACTCTGCATCTCCCCAGCCTTCTAGACCAAGTGGCCCAGGCCTTTCGACAGCTACCTGGGAGGAGAGACAAAACGAGGAGTCATCCAGGACATGGGGGGTGGGGCATGGGGACCTGCAAGGAAACATCTTCGTCCTCAGCAACGGATTTTCCTCAGGGGTAATATGTACCGCTAGGAATAACTTGGCATATCGGCCGGATTGGCAGCGATTTTCAGATGCCAACCCTGAGGGCCGGGAGACCACGGGACCTGCTCAACGGCATCAACTAGCTGGCAGCTGAGCCATTGCTTCTCTAGACTCTCAATGCCTGCCCATGTGTCTCCTTCCATACACCTCCTCACGGACTCATTCATCCCTTGGCACGAGCCATCTCTGCCCACATATAGGGATGACTCAGAGGGCCACGGATGACAGTCCAACCGTCTTCTCTCGGGTACGAATCTCCTATGTGGTTTACCATCCAGATGCTCCCCACGCATCAGAAAATTTCTCAGGCTGAGAATCAGGAGGCCGTCCTCCTTCACTGAGCAGCACCCCCTACCCTCTGCCAGCGCCCCCCAGCACTCCCGGCACCCACCACTGCCATTACCTCTGTGACCAACTGCAGGTCATTGACATAGTTCTCCTCTGTGACAATGAGTTCGTGGATGTATCCTTGTCGCTTTCTCTCGGTTGGGGTCAACATATCCAAGAGGTGTAAGTCTGAACACCCTGGAAAACACAACCGTCGGGGCATTTCAGTCCAAGTCTGGGGAAGCCCATACAGCTTCTCAGTGGAGAGCCCCAGGGCCCCATGCCTGCCGGCCCCTGTGGTCTCACTCTAGCTGGGCACTGTTAGGGGTTGGAGTGTGTCCCCTAAAAATACACAGGAAAGTTCTAACCCTCGGTACCTGTGAATGTGACCTTATTTGGAAATAGGGTTTCTGCAGACATAATCAAATTAAGATGAAGTCACACTCAATTAGGGTGGGCCCTAATCCAATATGACTGGTGTCCTTAGCAGGAGATATCCAGGGGCGCCTGGGTGGCTCAGTCGGTTAAGCGTCCAACTGTTGGTTTTCGGCTCAGGTCATGATCTCAGGGTGGTGAGATCAAGTCCCACGTCAGGCTCCGCGCTCAGCGCAGAATCTGCTTAAGATTCTCTCTCCCTCTGGCCCTCCCCCTGCTTGCTCTCTTTCTCTCTCAAATAAAATAAATAAATAAATAAATAAAATCTTTTTAAAAAAGAGGAAGAAGAAGACATACAGAGACAGACAGAAAGAAGGCCATGTGGCAACACAGGCAAGGACTGGGGTGAAGCAGCTACAAGCCAAGGAACTCCAAGGTTGCTAGCAGCCATCAGAAGCTACGAGAAACGCATGGAAAAAAAATCGCCCCTAAAATCCTCCAGAGGAACGTGGCTCTACCCAACACCTTGATTTTGCGCTCATCTCCAAAACTGTGAGAAAATAAATCTCCGTTGTTGTAAGCCACCCCGCTTGTGGCCGTTTGTTGCAGTAACCCCAGCAGACTCATATGGGTGGCACGTTCCTGCTTCCTCCAGGCCGGTAAAATAACGTCGAGAGGAGACTAAGTAGCAGCGGGCCGGTATGTCCTGAGGACTCTCACCATGCCAGGCGCTGTCCAAGTACGTGGACAGCTGTGCTTAAGGCTCGCACAGATACTGTAATCATCGCCATTTTACACACAGGGACGCGGAGGTTTAGACAGGTTGACCCGCTCAAGATGTCTCAGGGGGGTGGTGGCCGAGAGCCGAACCTGACACTTTGAGACCAGAAACTGGGCTTGACCCCAGACCACTGCTGTTGGGTCCAAGCTACAGGAGGGCATCAGGTTATCCTGAGGTTGGATTTTGGAGGATGAAGGGGCTGTGCTGAGGCTCCTGATGGGCGTGGGGACAGGGCAGATCGGTGTGGAGCGCATTCAGACAGCGCCGCGTAAACTTGGAGCCAGGCTGCTGCCCTGCGCCCCTAGGAGCCGAGCAGCAAGGCTGCAGGTGGACGGGGAAACCCCTCCAGCGGCAGGCAGCTGGGCCATCTGTTGCCCCAGGTGCCCAAGGGAAGGGGCTCTGTTGACCTTGCAGGGGGCACACACAGGAGACGGTGCCCGCCCTCGCCTCTGCTCACCTGGCTGGTCATTTCGGGTTTTGTTTGCATCGAATGTTCTCAGGTTATCAGCAGAAGCTGCCTGGTGACACAGATACACCGGGATGAAGCGCGGGAAGCTCCGTTCCCGGGGGGCGCCCCTCATACAGGCCTGGACCCCCCTGTTCCAGGCCAGTGGGTTCTCCTCTCCTTTTTATGAGGGGGTTCTTCGTTTAATCACAAAAAGCCCAGATTTGTCAAACAGACTGAGAGGTGTCCTGGATGTGGGTGGGAGTGGGAGCACAGAGTGCCAGCCACTTGCTGTTTGCATACCATCGGCCCACAAGGGGGCGTGACGGAGCACGATGTGAAAACCCGGCGGCCACCAGGGGTTCTCAGAGTCCCCAGACCCGTGGTAGCAGCACCAGGGAACTTGTCAGAAATCAAATTATCAGGCCCCTGCGGAACAGACGACCTGGAGTTGGGGCCCAGGAATCTAACGTAACAAGTTCTCCAGGTGATTTTTTTTGTTGTTTTAGGCAAACTAAAACTTGGGAAGCTTGCTCTGGGCTGTCAGGGGTTTCTCCGAGTTTCCATCTTCCCCCTCTGTAGTCAATATGCTGGAAGCTTCTGCAAATAGAATGACCCCTCTGGGGGCGAATGACATCACTGACTTCTCACCGAATGTTTGCGCCAGAGATTAACTCCAAGTCTGGGTGCTTCCAGTGCTCAGTCTTGTCCCCTACCCTGGCCAAAGGCCCTTTCTAGAATGCCGTTGCTTCTCTTCCTGGAACAGGACAGTTCTGGGATGAGCAGGCAGATGGATGCTGGGAAAGCAGCAGGGATGAGCCATCCTTACATTAATACTCTCCATGCCCATCCATCTAAGACCTCACTGAAAGCCACGGCAGCCAGGCCAAGCTGTCATTCCACGGGGGCCACGAGCGGAGCATAAACCACGGGGCGGGTCTGCAAATGAATCTGGAACCTGGACCCTCTGCTCAGCCCCCAGCCTGGCCCAGCTGTTCTTGGGACATTGGCCGTGCTTTATTAGAACAACTGCTTCCACAGCGAACTCTCGGGAGGGAAGCAAGTCCTGATCGCTCACTCTTGTCCCTTCAGCCACCCTCTGCCCAGCTGTGTGAGCTTCGGCTTCTGGGAAGTAGAGTGATGCCCCCAATTTCTTTGGCTTTCGTGAGGAAAGCCCCCCGGGAAACACCCTTCAGCTCGGGAGGAAACATCTCATGCCTGCCCTGTTCTCACCAGACCTTCCTATTAGTGAGTCAAGGAGCCCAGGGGCAAGGCCATTTCTTGTTACAGGACAGAATACTGTCCTTGCATGGCAGGGACTTGGGTGATGAGCTGCTCACGGAGCAGAGTCTCCCCTAGAATGTGCAGGACATTGCTTTCTGCGGGAATATTAGAATATTGTTTAGAGCTGGGGTTCTAAGACTCATCCCACAAACACTGTGCAATGAGGTATGCAGGGATACAAACATCGGGCTCATGGTGGACCCCGGTTGGACAGTCTGCCGAACGTCCCCTTAGGTCACAATTTCCCTTGGAAGCTATCACGGATGCTATAAACTCTGACCTCTGAAAACCCATGTGTATGACACACACAACATACACACACATTTTGCACACAATTTTACAAGGTTCACAGGCCCTCTTGAAGCTTGTTCGGGTATCTCATTCATTCATTCATTTCACAAGTATTTACTGAGGTTCCATCATGAGTCTGGCACTAGCTGATGGGTGCTGAGGATTCGCCATGAAAGAGGAGAAATGCCTGCCCTCCAGAGCACATGGCTAAGAACCTTGGGGTCCTCAGCTGGGGGTGGTACTACTCCCCATAGGCTGAAGGTGGTACTGACACCCCCCCCACCAAATTGAGGCTCCTACTGCATTCACCCACACCCCCAGGCTGAGAATGCATTCTTGGTTGTCGTAATGACCGGAGGTGATGGCTGGGATTGGGTGGGCTGGACCAGAGCTGCTAGATGTCCTGCAATATACAGGACAGAGAATTGCCTGCCCCGATGTCAACAGCCCCCCACTGAGAAACGCTGACATTACTGGAAACTGACAATGGGACCAGGACTACCCTCTGCAGCAAGGATGGTGCAAGCGACCAGCAGGAATCAGAAACGAGGATCCAGGAAGACACCTAACAGGAAATGGCTTGCTCTGGATTTCAGAAGTTCTTCAGAGTCTTCAAGTTTTACATGGTTTTGAAGAAGCTCAGAGCCAAAGCAACAGCAAAAGGTCTAGTGGGGGAATGAGGCCATCAGTCCAAGAATCCCAGGTGCTGGGGCCAGTTGGGGTGCACTGGAGGTCTATTACACATGGGAGGGTGGTGGGCATGAGGAGGCCGCATGGCGTCCTACTCCGGGCAGCTCCGGCCTTCTGGTCATCCACCCAGCAGACCCACGTCAGAGCTGATGGAGCTGAGAGATGCTGTGTGACTCTGCGCTGCTTGTCCCAACAAGTTCCACCCCACGCTGCCCACCTATCAGCGTGCCTGGAGACAAGAGGAGGGCTCAGGTGGCCTCTCCAGGCCCCAGCATGCAAAGAAAAGCAAAGATATTTCGGGGAGATTTGTCTCAGCATTATAAGCCAACACTGTTGGCTTTGAATCGTCTTTTTAGCTACTGAACTGACCCGTAGGATGCTGTTTTGAAAATTCTTACTGGTGGGTGCCAGACCAAGAGAACCATTACAGACTTAAAATAGGCACTTTGAACTAAAAAACATCCTTTCTTTGAAAATGTAATATTTAGAAAAACAAACGAGTTTAAAAACTCCATTATTCAGAGCCGGGTAAATGGAAAAGACATTTCAAATAAAAGAGTTTTCTTTAAGGGTGGAGGGACATGGTCCTTCTCTCCTTTGGGAACCAGGATAAACATGGTTTGCTGGCTCCCTTTCCCGGTGAAAAATGAAAGGATAAAGTACAGCAAATAACTTTTCACGGACATCTCGGTATGATGAAGGGATTCTTAGAACTAACCATAATCCACTCACAGCTGAAATAATACTGCAAGTGACTCCAGGCAGTTAAAAATGATCCCCAATTACAGCCCACATAAAATTCCTAATCTATGTGCTGTCCCTTATAATCTTGTGGAGTGAGACACATTTACAAAATGGAGAGAGCCATGATACCCCTTTGGAAGGATTTGAGTCTGGGGGACTGGAACGAATACGGGAAAATCTTAGCCAAAAAGGTCATCTTGTCCCCTCAATTGGAAAATGTTCCTATGAACAGCATTGTCTAAATAAATTGCTTTATTACCAAAGTAATACATAAACACAGGCTTAATGTAAACAGTTCAAAGGATACAGAAGTACTTAGAGTAAAACCTGAGAATCACCCCTCTCCACATCCCCACCATTCTACTTCCTTTCCCAACAAGGCCCATAATTTAAAAAACCAAACCAGCCCCACAGCAAGCTGGCCCCTGGGCAAAGCAAATAAACAGGCTTTGTTCCTGTTATGAACGGGCCAAGATATACTATAAGATGGTCAATAAATATTTATTAAGTTCCTATGAAGTCCAAGAGACACAGAAATGAGCAAGATAATGTCCTTGTCCTCAAGGAAACTCACAGCCCGGAGGGAGACTCGACATGAAAACTAAACTTAAAATAGCAGGCAACAGAGACCGGGCCTGTAGGCCGCGGGGATGGTGGAGTCTGTAGGACTCAGAGAAGTAGACGCTCCTCGCTCCTCATCCCGAAGGAGGAAGGCTCCTCGAGGAGGGGGTGGGGGGGGGCCCGTATCAGGGAGGATGGGGCCATTATGTTGGGGGTGTCAGGCCAGCATGCCAGGTAAATGCAGAGACACTGTGGGAGACAAGGTGGGAAGTGGGAAGAGGATAAGGCGGGAGGTGAGGTCATGATGGCAGAGGGCCCAGGTGAGAAATCTGGGTACCACTCAGCCATATGGAAACTCAGGCAATGGTTTTTCATCTTCAAGGGAAAGGCTATATACCAATGTCTCTGGGGACATGCCGCCCAAATCCTCTGGCTACATGGCCCCGCTCCCCAGGATACACACTGGAGCTGGAGATCCCATCTCTCCTGAAGGCTTCTCCAGGCTTGGCCTGAATGTAGGACACGGGAGCCTCATGGGTCCTGGTGTCTCCTGCCAGGTGAGCCCACGCCCCCCAAGGCTACACTGGATTTTTTCTGGGAAAATGAATCTACCTGTGCTGCCTTCAACCCCCTGGCCAGAATGGCACACATGGGTGGCTCATCCCATAGGAAAGGCCACAGCGGATGTGCCATAGAGGAGGGCTCTCTGGTCAGAGCACTTCGTCCTCCACCTGCAGCTGACCGCCCCCCGCCACCCCCACCCCATTCTCTCAGCTGTGAACTTGTCCGTCCCCGCTGTGTGCTGTGCCTGGAGCTGGGGCTTGGGGATGAATGAGGCGAGCGGGGTCCTTGTCCTCGGGGAGCCTCGGTCTACTAGAGGCTCGGGCAGCCCATCCAGGCGCTGTTCTTGCCGAAGGACAGCTTCCTTGCAGAGGCGCCCCTGGAAGCTGCCGGCCCTCAAGACCTCGGAGCTGAAGTCCCTGAGACTAGATTTCCATGGGGGTCTAGAGAAGCTGGGGGGGCATGGGGACCTGTGGGGGGGACGTCGGGGGGGTGCCCCCTGATGGCACCAAAGCCCAGGCCGCCCTGTCCAGCCTGTCTTGGGGACCCCCCAGCTCCCTCTGAGGGTTTCCACCCGGCCACACTCGGTATAACCCAGCAGCTTCAAAAGTACCAACGTGGCTTCCAGATAAAGCGTTCTCCCAAGAAGGGGGCTCCGGTCTACGTGGGCTGCCAGGCAGTTTCGTGACGACTGAGAATTTGCAAAAATCAAATTACTCTTGGGGTTCAGGTCTCTCTTAATTTGCCATAAAGGAGAATATTGGTAGCTTTGTAACGAAAGGCAGAACACTCGTGGCTTTAGAGCCGATGCCGAATCCCTGGCGTGGCGTCAAGTGGCCCACGGTATGCTCTTGTCAGCTCATTCCTGGCCCCGGTTCTGTTACCCCCAGCCTTTGTTGTCTCTCCTTCCTGAGCTCCTGCTTTCTTTTTTGTTTGTTTGTTTTGTTCTGGTTTTTTAGAAGATTTTATTTTTAAGTAATCTCTATGCCCACATGGGGGGCTCGA